TAAGTTAACTTTTTAAGCTTAGCCACGCATGTTCTGGTGGTAATATGGAAAGTTGAATGTCAGTGATGCCTAAATAAATAGAAAAAACCAAGATATTGCTGCTAATAGGAGAATGTGCAATTATGCCACCATTTTTGCTATCTTCAGTATCTTGTATGAATTTCTAGAGCTATAATGTTGATTTGTATCACGACAGTTCTGCGAGTAGAGTGCCCAGCTCTGTTACCTCTTCAATGGTCCCTCCTTATCCCGGTAGCGTTGCTAGGCCACATGATCGTGTTCAGGCTCTTCAGGCATACGTTCAGCAAGCCGGTAGTAATCCAGCAGCACGCACACCCTTAGTATCTTCAACACGAAGATATAACAACAGCCGTAGGGGCTCAGCTCAAGTTGCACCCATGGCTTCATCATCAGATCAGTCTGGTAACTTGTACTTGTCATCAGCTTCATCTGGACGAACCTACCAAGAAGCAGAAAATCTTCTTCCCATCCGTTTCCATGCCTGGGAACGAGAACATTTGCCTTCCTTCCCATTAAGCCAGGCTGAAAGGGAGATTTGGGGACCATACCATCCAGCACCTGGTGGATCTGATTCCAGAATCAGATCCAGCAGTTTTCATGTGAGGCATGGATCAGAGAGGACAGCGCCATCCCAAAATCGGTCATAGATATCTTATTCTATTATGATGGAAAACCTTGATTTCTATGACTGAAAATCTGAAACTCCCATTATGTATGTTTTGAGAAACGGTCTATAATGGTTGGTAGTGTGCCAATCAATCCAGACGTTTTGCGTGGCTTTGAAATTACTGCTTTTTTATCAGCCAAAAGCTTGTGTGATGGACTCTCAGCTTCCTCTTGTTCCTTCGGGAATGTAAGGTCATATGTTTATAGCAAGACGTGGTCCAAAGCAGCATTGCTAGTGTTGTGTATCCCATGTACGGGTCTCCTAAATTATTTTTCCGTCCAAAAGCGGACCCCTATCAAATATTTATTGGCTGTTTATCTTGTTTGTGAAATTCACCCATGATATGAGTTGTGGATCTTGTTAAAATTCTTCATTTAGTGCCATTTTTGGACGAAAAATTGTGAAGTCTGATCAAACACCTTATCTGGTACGAGGTGTAACACCTCAAGATTTTCATGAAATTTTGTTACTTATTTGCGAAGTTTAAATTTTTTGGGTTCTCTTGGACATTTTGAAATTTGTAGACTAAAAGAAAAATAAGTTAAAGAAATTATTTTTAATTTTAATCTTGGGCACAAGAGAAAGAAATGGACAGTGATTAATTGATTTTATCAACTTTGAAAAGTCAACAAATGTTTTTAAATCAATCTAGCTCTATCTAAAGCAAATGGTGCGAAGTATGGTCAAACTAAAACTTACAAGAATAATTCTAAATCGTTTGGCACTTCTAGTTGGGACCAAAACTACATGCTATAAATCACTTTGACGTGATTTAAATGTGTACAAACATGGGTGACAACAAGTACTTTATTACCTTTATCGACAATAACAAAAAAAATAAAATTACATAAATCTGCTAAACAATAAAGATGAAATTATAGAGAAATTTGTTCTTCATAAGAATGAAGTTGATAATCGATTCAACAAAAAAATTTAGGTGTTGAGAATTGATTGAGATGGTGAGTATGAAGTATCATTTGATGAATTTGTACATAATGCGGAATTACATATGAAACCACACACTTTATTCACTCCAGCAAGATGGTGTTACTTAACGTAAAAATCGTAACTTAAAAAAATGATGAATGTACTGTTGATAAGTCTTGGGTTGCCATAGAAAATGTGGCGGCGGCGACGGTGGGTGTGGGGGGGGGGGGTAGTTCTCAACAAAATACTTTTTAAACAAGATTTACTTTTTAAACAAGATTTATTGAAAGAGAAAAAATAGTCATGAGTTATGAAAATGAAGAAAGCCTTTTTGTATATACTTACGAGTGACATGATATTTTGCCAAAGTAATCGTACCTGTACCAATGAAATTTGAATTGATTTCACTTTCATTGGCTATGAACATTATAATAGTGCTTATCATTTTCTTGTGCATGAATCTAAAATTCGAGACATATACAAAAACACGATAATAAAATCGAGAAATGCATTTTTCTTTAAACATGTATTTTAGTATATATTCGAAGATGAAGCAAACTCCTGTAGACGAACATATAAAATTATAGTTGATACTAATAAGGAACAAAGATTAGAAGGGAAAGTTGATGTTGAACAAAGACAGTAAAAGAGCAAGATCGAAAAAAAAAAAAATACATTTAGTCAATATGTTAGAAAGTATATCTCAAAGCTTTTAAGATGTGAACTCTCCAGAAGGACCTTAGAGGAAATATGTCATTAAAAGTGAAATATATTTCGTACTGTAACCATTAATGAGAATTGATTAATCTTATTTCGGGATCCAATCATTAAGTTACAAAAGGATTTTCATGAGGAAATGATTATAGAGGAACTGTCAATAAGAATAAGGTCACACTAGTGATAAAAGGTTATAAACTACTAGTAGACATTTATTACTTGATATGTATTCTCCAATAATGAGAATGACCTTCATTAGGATGATACTTGCAATTGTAACTTTCCTAAATCTTGAAACATCAAATAGATGTTTAAAATGTCTTTATAAATGGAAAGTTAGAGGAAGAAATCTACGTGGATCTATCAAAGGATTTTTCTGCACTAGGACATGTAATTGGTGAAGTCATGTATGACTTGAAACAAACACCAAAACAATGACATGAAAAGTTTTGATAATGACATGATAGAATGTAGATTTAAAATCAATGAATGTGATAAATGCATTTATGTCATGATACTGAGAATGACTATGTCACTTTATGTTTTTACGTTATGAACATGCTTATTGTTAATAGTAATTATAAAATGAATAAATTCACAAAAGATATGTTGAAATCAATATTTGACATGAGAGATGTGAGTTTAGATGATGAGATACTTTAAATTAAAATTTTAAGAACAGCAAATGTATTGGTTCTAAGTCAGTCACATTTTATAGACAAAATTCTTTAAAAAAATTAACAAGGATAATTCTAGCATAGTTAGATGCTAGAACACTATATATATATAAGTTAGCATCTATCGAAAAATAGTAAGAGTGTCTCTCAGGTAGTACAAGATCAGACATAGTCTATAGTCAGTTCCCAAATTGCTAACTGTAGGCATATATTTGTAGCTATGGTTTGTATTATATTATACATTGAACAGTTATTGAAGGATATAGTGATGTTAACTAGATATATGATATAAAAGACTCAAAATCTACAAGCGAATTTGTGTTCACACTGAAGATGTAGCCATATCATGAAAATCCTCCAAACAGATGGTTATGGACAAATATCTACTATAGAATCGGAGTTTATAGCCGTAGACAAATGTAGTGAAAAGGTTGAGTAGCTATGCCACTTCTTAGAGGGTATTTCTAGATAGTTAAAGCATGTGCCAATAATCAACTTACATTGTGATAGTCAATCTATGATTGGAAGCATAGAGCAACATGTATAATTGTAAGTTTAGACATATATGTAGTATATATAATACAATAAGATAACTACTCTTAGCTAGAGTTATTTATGTTGACCATTTGAAGTCAGATGATAACATTGTGAATCTGCTTATCAAAAGATTAAATAGAGAGCTAGTTGAAAGGTCATTGAGACGAATGAGACTTGAGTCCTTGTAAGAATGAGTTGATAAAGTGGAAATCCAAATTAGACTAGAGATCCCAAGTTCCAAGATCAAAAGGATAATCTAACTGTAACGACTTAATCATATCACTGTAAGGGTTACATCTTTTTCGTTCCTATGATTTAACTGTGATGCTCGTAATAAAAATGATAAGAAATAAGCTTTTAATGATTTTTTTGCATTAAGAATTCGAGCGAAGTAATGCAGATTACTCAGAATTAAGAAATTATCAACATAAGAGAGAAGTGGGGTCCTTATAAGAGAATTGTGTGGGCTCAATTTTTAGAATCTCTCACAAAACTAGGCGAATATTCATGGTAAGAAATGAACGTAACAATGAGAACTGATTTCTGTCGAAAAGATTCTAGTGTGAGGTATATCATCATTTACACAAAAGGCACAACAATTAAAAATATTTTGTCTATTTTTAGCAATGAAAGTAACTATACTTTCGTGAAGGAAGGTTTAAAGGAAACCTACCTATCCTATGCAGATTTCGACCAATAAAATTTATCATCTAGTCTTTGTGTATTTCGTGGTTTTTTTTTTTTCCTATTCATATGGGAGATTGTTGTAAAATAATTGATTTTGGCATAATTTTGAGTGGTTCCTATGATTGGTTTTGGCATAATTTGAGTGGGACCAATGATAAAGGTGTTGCTTGTGAAGTATGTATTTGTTTATGTTTTATAGATTTACCCATTATTGATTGGAAATTGGAAATAAATATTCGAAAGAAACGATAACTTAATTATAGTATTGATTTTGGAATTTGTATATGCCTTTCATGAGAATATTGAAATCTTGTATTCACATACTCAGAATAATACTCGGATGAATGAGAAATTAAAGCTCAAATTGCAACTGTTGAAACAGGAAAGTGTTGGAAGAGGAGATGAAGAAGTTTGTCCTCTATAAGAAAAATGATAAGCTATGTGCTAGTTTTCTTGTGACCATATTTTATGAAAATATAATTTTGTATAGCACAGATAGTGCGTACGCAGGAGGGTAGGTGCAAATCACGGACCAAATTAGCACCTTAAGCCATTGGACTCGTGTAGAAGCACGTCATACGGACGCGAATATTGAGCCAAAACGTTGCTCCTTAGTAGGGCCTATGATTTGCACCTATCCCATTATTTTTTCTCTTTATTTTTGCCCCTTCTAGCTTCTTAACAACTCCAACACCTCATATTGCTATAGTTAAATTACCTATGTTACAAGGTTACAATATTCTTGTTAAATGGGGGCAATTATATTGCCATCAAAGGAGTTTATTAAAGGAAATTCATTTCTTTCCGTCAACATCACAAATTCAGTACATTCTACAATCTCTTTTCCATCAAATTTCTCTTAGGCTTCTTAGAGTCTTTTCGAAATTCTTGGTGATAGTGTTCAAACTTCAGTGAAGCGGAAGCTTGGTGCTCAACTTGTTACTGATTCCATAGTTATATCGTTGGAGACAAACGCTTAATGAACCTCAAGCACCTACATGAGCGGACAAATCTTTTTGTAAGGACAAGGTGTATTATACATGCTTCCTTTTGATGTTCCCTTTTTCCTTTACTTGTCAATTTCCTTTTTGTTGTAAAACAACCAAGATACCAGAATTGCTCTGATACAAATTATTGTGGAACAAACCACCGATTGAGATGTTGAAGTTATATGGCAAATAATAATAAAGTCTTTGATCAAGTAAAAGAATAAAAAAGACAAGAATATTGTAGAGGAATTAAGAGATTTTATTGACTCAAGAATAATGAAGAAGAGAGAAAATTACAATGAATCCTATAATTCTAGTAATCTATTTTCTCACCTTATAAAATTATATAGAAGAGGCTAATATTTATAGGGAATAAGTAGGAGATGTCCAAACCCACATATTAGAGTTGTTGATGAAGTATGATACCATAAAATTGAGTCCAAAAC